CGCTGCTATCCTGATACTGTTTTTGTCACGCCACAATTACCCATGACATGATCAAGTTAATTTTCAGTGAGCGGAATAATTAGATCCCACGGACAGCAGCCAAGAAATTAATTTACTCTGTTGCTGCAGCTGTGTTAAAGGAAAATGATCACAAAAGGTTTCGTGCTTTCAGGAAGTACGACTTGGTATGCGCAACAAATTTATCCGCAAAAGAATTTTCAATTTCCGAAAACAGCAAATATAATTTGTTTAAATTCATGTATAGACAGCACAATTTAAAACGTTTCATTTCACCATTCCCTCAGCATTATAAAACACAAATGTAATAAGTTAGAAAATGCATGCATAGGCTTAACTTCATACTTCTGCCGCATTTGACCTCTTATTACCTCTAGATTTTCATGTCGTCACTGATAAATTCTGATGCTGTCTTTTAAATAGCGTAAAATAAAGTTGACGCTTTTGTTACTAAACACTAATGGTTGGCAACATTCATAATTGCATCGACTTTTAAACGTCCTTCAGTTTCTCAATGAAAAGCATAGGTTTGTGAGATCAAAATGTCATCCGTATGTGTACGTGTAAACTTTTAGTCAGTTGATTGATTTTCACGAAATTTGGTTTGAACGTCACTGAACTGGAAGCCACCCCCAATCTCGTACTATCAACATCCTGCAGTCTGCAATAACTTCACTACGAACTTGTGAGTTGGATCGACATTTAATGTAGGGTACGGATGAAATGGAAGCTAAAATGCTCCTCGTAATACCGAAATAAAACCACGGATGTTCTGAAAAGGATAACAAAAGCGCGTGTAACTAGAGCCACATCTATTGGTCAACTTCTCTACACAGTTTCATAACAAGTCAAATGCGTAGTATGGATAGCGACATTTTAAATAAATACTTTTAAAAAAAAAGTAAATAAAACTTGAAATATTAATTCTGAGAAAAGTGAAGTCGAAGTAAAAACTCACAGAACTAGTAGCAGCAGCAGGAGTGCCTGAATTCCCTTCTCTTCTTAATCCCTGGTTTCCTTGCTGATTCTTTCGCCTTCATTTCTAACATCTGCAACTTCATCTCTTTCAATCGCTGTCGGGCAGTTCAAAGTTTATTTATTCTATTTTTAAAATGTGTGGTTCGAGGCGGTAGACCCATTATGACACAGTTTCCGCCGTTTTCAATCTTTATCAACCCACATATTAGTCTCGTGTTTATTTCATAGAGTAGTATGAGATGTCTTTGTAGAATTTACATTCTAGCCCTTACAACTTGTCTTTCAGTACCCGGCCTTGAAAGTTCACAAAATGTCCAGCCAATGAATCACAGTATTTACATTATGAAACTGAATATTATTCCTAAACCAATAATTATGTACTTGTATTTAACTTTGTTTACACTTTCCACTGCCAAAACTCTTTGCACAATCTAAATAATTTGGTTTTCTTTCCATGCACTTGAACGTGCAACTGTACTCAGTATTCTAGCGACACGTGACTGTCTTGGGTTACGTATACTGACACGTGCATCACTACACTCTTCGTAAACTTGTTCCCTTCGAACTTCCTTCCAGTGTTAACTTTCTTATTCCTCTGTATTTATTTCTAACTAAAAATGAACACGTGTATAGCACAAGACACGTTTCTTTGTCACATTCACAAGCGAGACACAGAACCACGCTTCGTTCTTATCACATTAATCACTGACAACAGGGTCGACAATAGTTCAACACAAAATTTCGCAACTTGACAAAACTACAAGTCCCTTCTAAAAGGTAGATCGAAAGTATGAATTGTGCGAAGCCTGTACCAAGCAATTAAAATGGCGGAACGAGAATAATCTCTATCTATCATACGTATGGATCTAAAATCGATGATTAAAGATTTTTAAAAATGAAGTCCTACATTTATTGGGTTGTTTAATTTATGATGGTCTATTTGCTTGTCTAGTTGATCAAAGAAGATATGACAAGGAGTTAGGAGGAGGAACAAGAGAAACCTACCTTTCTGGGTTTTCCTCAGAGACATGATAATAATTAGTATTGTAATGTAGGTGCTTTCCATTCCTGTTCTTGTGGTACGAGAAGAAATAAAATGAGCAGAATAAGAAATTTTACCTTTATTCGACCAATAGGCATAATACTGTACATCACTTTTATATACTTATATATTAAATCAAAGGCACTAATTAGTATATGCATTAGCTACTTCTTACGTACTAATTAAAGAAGATATCTGAATTTAATTGAACAACATATTATTTACATTTCCTCTGACCACTTTGAGTCACTTGTGTTGGATACTTTGACTAGATTAGGATAGTACTCAAGTTTGTCTGATACTTTACCACCACAGTCTTCGGAAAAAAGTGAGAAAGAATACATTTTCCGTAACGCTGCAAAAAAATATTTTTACTCATTAATCCACATTTCAAGGAATAATTTTAGCAAGTGCTGAAAAGAAATCTCTTATAAAATCAGAAAACATTCGCTTCTGATACTACCACTATCTCAACATTTACAAACATCACGTTGTTTCATTTGCGAGGATCAAATCAACGTAAACTAATCGAACCTAACCCTCTGTCTTTCTTTCTGCGGGTACAACAAAAACACGTTATGTTGGACAGTGTTACTGAGCATGCGCAGAGCGTATCATCTAAACCTCCCTCCTTCCTTCTTTAAAAACTTCAAGAAGACGCGGACAATAAACAACATCAGGCTGCTTATTTATTAAAGCTGGCCACAGCAGCCATGGGCTGCCCTTAAGTCAGACCATTTTCATCATCTTTAACTCGAGAGCTTCGTTCAAGCGGTTCTCCATGTCTTCAAGATCTCTGACGTCATCAAGCCACGTGACTGTAGTGACGTTGCTCTTGCAGTCCTCTGTGCATGACGTCACAGCGCTGAGGTTCTCTGTTACTGCAGGCAGCTGGACTATTTGGTCTGTCAGAGGACTGCGCGGGTCTGGAGACCGTGTTTCGGTCTGCCTTCTCGGATTTGCAAGTTTCTTTATTACCTACAACAAAGTAGACGAGAACTAAATGAGAAGGGCCTGACATCTTTTCAAGAACGTACCTTAAAAATAATTTCAAATAAGTTTCTCATCTAATCAACCAATTCTGTATAGATGAATATTCAGAAGCTGACAGTCGCTGAGTTCGTCAAGAAACTCCCCACCTTTTATAAATAAGAGCGTTTATCAGCATGTTCGCAAAATCTCGACATCAGCTCCTGTCCTGAAGACAATGTATTTCTCCAAGATCAATTTAAATGTTATCCTACCGATTTACCTAGCGTTTTCTAGCCTCGATGTTTTCGGCCTACGTTCAAAATTTGATAAACATTTCTAATTTCCCTCATGTGTGCTGCATGTTCTGCGAATCACATCCCCGAAATTTAATCGCCATCACAATACTTGACGAAAAGGGCAAACAATAAAATTATTGAAATCTTGCAGACAATTTTCATGAGTGTATTACATTCTGTTGCTGTTTACTTTGCCATGTTCATTAAAAGTGCACGTAAACGATTAATCTGATACACACGTTACAAACACAAAATAATTCCGGTAATTTATTAAAGATGTGTGATATGAGAAATAACCAATTTCACTACGTCATTACTTTTTAACCACTTACAGTAAAGTGGTACTTATATGTACCACCTACTTTAATATTCGATAACACTATATTTTGCCCACAAAGTGTGTTTATAGGTTGCATATTATTCTGAAAACAAATGACGTTCATTTCCCTGAACAGCATTTACTAATTTAACATTGTACTGGGGACGCGGTGTTTTCTTTGCGGTACGAAACAAATGTAACAGAACAGTAATAACGTAACATGTCTCCAGTTATCACCTCGTTCAGGATTACATAAAAGTACATACTGCCTTTATGTTTATCTACATACACAATTTTACACACATGCAGACAAAAAATCTGATTGTGTTCACGTACATTCACAAGGAGAAAGTTTATAAGTGCATTTACAAGCATGCATAACAAAAGACTATTTATGTTTACATACATAGATAAAGACAGTTTCTATGATTGTGTATTTACACACCTATACATGCATAAATTTAGGCATATCTGTTGAATGTTTATAAATTTGTATATGTAAAAAATAGTGAGAATGAAATTACAAGTGACGTAAAACAATTGAATGTATACATACCTTCATACACTTCTTTCCAGTGCTACAGACAATCTTGCGGATCGGAAATGGAGCCATTTCGTCAAAAGATTGTTCCAGTCTCCACAGCAAGATGACAAGAAAGTCTCAAAATTTGACAACTTCAGACTGTCGTGAACTGTGTGTTGGATGAAACACGAATGGAGCATGATACATCCATCCCCATACGCCTATATAACCCCCCAATTGTAATCCCAGATGTATTAGGGCTGGAGGCGTGGCTTGTTGTGCGGGTGGCCAACCTCATAGTGGACGCAGCTGTGGCGCGTGGACAGTCACATTCATGGGATGTAGAGGAGAGGGGACACTCGTGGGAACCACATTTAGGCACGCGTTCTCACACGCTCTACGCATGCGCGGCTCGGATGGGGGTGTAATTTACAATTCAGCGATTATTCTCTCTCCACTTTCAGCTCGATATTTGCATTTATTGTTAGGAGGTTATCCCTAAACATCTCGAATTTATTTTCTCACGGTATTGAGTAAGAACACGAAGCTGCCCTCAATCCATACTCAGATCGTGGGTTCAAAGGGCAATGAACAGCACAGAACGTAAGGTGAATTGCCAGATATCTGAACACCACGTCGGTGAAGAAAACTAAAGATATTTACATTCTTAACCATGGCAATACACAAAACTGATTTTTGAATTATATGCACAAGCTGATTTACTCATGGGACCTATTAAAATGTTCTAACATCAACACCTAATCACTTACTCCTTAAGACCATATAGACTACTATGAAGCCCTGAAGATAGAGAAAGAATATTCCTACGAAACGTTGATATCTACCTGCAAGTCCATACGACGTCCCAAGACCAACATCAACATCTTCACCCCACGAGAAAATTAAATCTCAAACAAAATCAACTTAATAAAACATTTTAAAATTTCGCATTACTTTTAACTCTGGAAGGTTCAAGGTTCTGTCCTTCTACACTACTTATTAAATGTGTCTGGATCGAGATATCTCTCTTCCATGGAAAATTAAGATCATTCAGTTGTCAAAATTTCGCTGTAGTACAATATTAAAGACCCGAACCCCACCCCAACTTCTAAAACTCCGAGCCTTTACAAATCAAATAGGGTCGCAGACAAATGTCAGTGCACTCAGATCACAATGACTGGGCCACTTATAAAAGCATATTGATTACGGACTGCAGGATAGGCCCCTACGATGCTATGAATTTCTCACGAACAGAAACCCATACAATACGACTCACTGCAGCTCTGATTAACCTACAAATAGAAAGTTTTAACTAAATAATTCTCTGGTAATTAAACCCAAAGCTTCAAACCGATACAATGACCCACAGATAAACACGATAGCGGGACAGATATATCCACCGCCAACCTTGTCCTCACAGCCCTTTTGTCTAAGATTCATCTTTATGTTACCATTCGATTTCCTTCTTAATCTTATAAGTTACACTTTTCCATACGCATCCCACGCCAAAATTATGTCCAGTCCATCAACACATTAATTTAACCATAGTCAATACAGAAGGTAACCCACACAAATTACCACGTTTCTCGTTATGTGACAGTCTAAATTGTCTGCTTAATTTATTCATATCGCCTACATTGACACACTTGTATTTCATACTAAGAATCGTAATAATTTATCTTCATCAAATATTATTAACGTGATAGAATCAAGTGGGATGAGATGGGACGGACTGTAGAACGCACGGGAAATGACAAATATAAAATTACATCTGGAAAACTGAACATCGTAGGAGTCCTTAAGCCAATCAAGAAACTTTATAACATTTAATGAAACCAGTGTGTTCACTGTCGTGTTGACAAAAGCCCGTATTCAGTTCCTATCCTTAGGCAGATTCATCCAGTCCACACCCTCAAATCCAATCTCCCTAAGGTCAATCTATCTTGTAACATAATAAGGAGTTCCATTTCAGACGCAGTCGAAACTACAACAGTATTTGTAAGCTTTGCTGACATCAGTACAACAAAACAATCGAGTCGTTTTGCAGTGTTTCTGCCTCTCACCTGTCAGCAATGTCCGTCGCCGGACGTTTCCTGTCGCAAACACTTCCTGTGTCCCGAAATTTTGTTACCTGTCGGTCGTATTTCTGTCTTCTACAGTACTTCATTGTCAGAATACGCATTGCTAGATGTTTCTCAAACAGTTGCAAACGATTTCGATGCGAAATTATGTTACGTGAAAGAACAAGCGTTCTGCTCATGAATACACAATGTTAGAACCTGCACAGTTCTTGCGCTAAAGGCATGAGCAGCGGCCTAGTAACAATGGTGGCCTTGAATCGAGCGTCATAGGGTAGATTGGAGAGATTATTACATTAAGATGGGCCTGTTTCTGATTCTGTTCTTAAACCATAATGTGTGACCGTTTTTGGGTTGAGTTTAAATGGCACGTCTACACATAATTTCTATCGTCCTGTTGGTGGCAAGAAGACAATCGAAACACCGAAATGTACGCCTAAATGCAACACTGTTATAGTGATTTAGCGACTGGATATTAATTACTGGGTTTACAAAAAGACCCAGAAGGCAATGCATGCTGCTGATAAATTGCTCCAGTCTGCATCAATTAACACAGATTTGTCAGCTGTCGGTCTCCTGAAAGCCAAAAGCAAGAGCTAAAAGGAAACTGTTCTTGAATTTAAGTTTATCCCGACTCATGTGTCAAAGTTCTGGCATTAAATTCGATTGAACCTTACGTTGTACATTGCAAGGGTTGAGCGCTGTTTTATCTTCCCGTCAGTCCCATTTGTTATAGCCTGATGGACAATCGTGTGACATGACGTTCCTTATTCCTGAAACAATTAGCTGCGACTGGATCATTTATACATTTTTATAGATTAATGATGTTCAGTGCTCCGTATTCCAAATGCGTGCGAATCAAATTACAATATAATTAATACAATTCGTATGAAAACAACCCCTAATTCTTCGTTGAAACCGACAACTGCTACACCCCAGGGTTAAGAGGTTTACAAAACGAAAATAAATACCATATTTTAACATATTTATGTATTTGCAAAATATAAAACCGTTGATCCCTAATAATGTAGTCAATTTATTCCTGACTTCTTGGTTCTAAAATGTTTCACTTCAAAACAAATAAATATAATACAACTTATCAAAATAGTCACCGTTTAAATTTTGTTACTCTTGTGTAATTTAAAGCTAAATCACATTAGAAACATTCACATGATTTAACCTTCATCCCATTTCAGATACAGTAATTTTTCAATCCATATTCGTACCTTCAATCTGTTTCGCTCCCCTTTCCAAAAATTTTATTGATTTCCACTTAAACCTTATCACCGCATCCAATCAACTGATAAATTTTCATATCCAGTGGATTATTAGGAGTGAATACTAACACTCCTGAATATCTGAGGCTTTATTCGTTCGCCACCTACTGTCACGTCTCTCATTCACAATACTCGCTCGCTCAATCACTTTATAATTCAAAAATTCACTCCAATACTGACTTACCCGTTAATTCACTCTTTTACACCATCGCTGCCACACACTCACATCTGCAGTGACGTTCCAGTGTGGCCTGACGGGTCTAATTACCTTAGAATCCCTTACGACGCAACAGAGCACAGCTGACAACCAGCACAAGTCGGCCCTTCTTTTATACCGCAGTACTTGGATAAAGTCACCATCAAAGATAACCTCCCTTAGCTACTCCCCCCTACACCAATAAGGTTGCAAATTCAGTTCTGTGGGGGGATCAGTGTCCGGACGCGCAGAAGAAGTCGAGTCTCGATGCAAACAAAATCACAAGAAAAACGGAAGTGACTCATGAGACGTGTCCTACGACACAAAATCTCTCCCCTCCTAAAAGAAAACAATATAATTAAGCAACATTTTTACAGAAACATACGAACTGGGAAATGGGTGAACGTGGGTCACGAGTTAAATATCCTCAAAATCCAACATTTTATATTAACGAAATCTGGAGATTACAGCCTCCCAAACTCGGAAAAAATAACTAATACTGATAATAATTTAATTAAATTCTTTATTTTAACGTGATGACTGAACAGCTAGAGCGACCAATTACAGATTCAACTCAACAATAATAATATTTAACATATTCACAACAACAAGTAACAAATATATTATGATCGCCCTGATGATGGAGACCGCAGGGACCTCTGAAACGTCGGTAAACTTCTACCAGACTACACGGCGCAACAAGCCAGAAGACAGAAATCTTCATACTCACCGCTGTGAAAACCTCAAATCATACATATTTTAAATAATTCAAAAATATTACGGGAACTGGCAGTGTCATGTGCAACACAGATTCACAAAAAAATATTCTACAGTACTCCCCGAAGGTAAAACAAGAAAGAGGCAGATCCATAAAAAGATGGAGAGAAATTTTCCGGGAGATCGCTGTTGGAATACGAACAGACTAACAAATCGAGTCCCTGAAGTTGATGATAGTAATCTGAGGAAGAACGCGGGAAAATAAAACTATGTATTATTCTGAACTGAACCATACCAAGAATATTAAAGTAGCCACATGTTCGGAAAATATCGCCTCGTGATGTTTGCGACTGTTTGGTGTCACGAGGGACACAAACAATAGTTATGACGAATCATGGCAGTCCTATAAGGGGAAAAAAAGGAATTAAGTTTATAGACTAATACTAAAAAGCAAAATGTTATTAACGAGAACACATAAGAGTGGTTTATGCAGCTGGTTGGTGTGTACTGCCAAGTTTCATTAAGTTTATTTCTATGACGCATACGTACGTGCCACGTGGCTGACCCGTGCGCGCCACGCGTCTTCCAGTGTTTGCCCTGCATATTGCAGCTAACACACAGCGGTCTTCAGTTTTCAAAATCTCTTCAGCTCATGCTCTCGCGCGTGTTCTGAGAGTTGCGTCATATCTCCAAGCAAGGAGAACTTGTGTGAAATCGGGCGACCACAAGAAATTTTGTTTCTTCTGGAATTTCTTCTGCGAAGCGCTATTAAGGATTTGCATAGTGGAAGATCTCCAAAAGTAAAATTTCAGTGCAAAATTTCAAAATGCTGGTAATTGAAGAGGTAATATAATTTTAACGTAACAAGCTTGTAAAAATTTTAATAGCTTATGCTAGTGGTATGACCTCTGAAGGAGGTTTAAAACAACGAAAAGATTAAATGTATCTTATGATTGTGATAAGTGGTATAGGAGTATATGAAAGTTTTGTTCAGGCCTTTTCTCTCGTCAGGAAAAATGTATAAGCAAGTGCAGGCCTAAATATATAATTACGACATGAAAGCAGAATCTGCAAAAATTTGATAATAAACCTCTGTTACAATTCATGTCAGAATTTTTCCAAATATTTCTGGGAATAACTGTAACAAATATGGACGACATTCACGATGAAATTAAGAAATTAACAAAATTCTATAAATTATTATTCAGTTCAAAAACTCCTATCATACCGCCCATTTTCCAGAACATTAAACATCAAGTTAAAACTTTTAAAACACTTTTATCTCTTGTTTTGTATCTATACGAAACTTGGCACCTTACTATGATAAAAGAACTAAATTAAAAGTGTTTCAAAAGTAAGTGCCTAAGGAATAAAGTAAATGAATGTACGACGAACGAAATAAATGAGCAATTTATGACAGGCCTGATACAGAACAGTCGAACTTCGCAGTTAGTATTTATCACGTACTGAATTTCCGATAACGACGTCAAGCCTGAGGTGGGAGGATAATATGGAATGTATCATAAAGAAATAGTGCTTGGGGATGTGGATTGTATTTGTCTGGCTCAGGACATGGCCCCGTTGCAAGACCTTGTGAACACGGTAATGAATGAATCTTCAGACAATTTCTTTACTAGGTGAACCACTGAAACTTCTAAAGAAAGACTAGATAATGGAGTTGATGCATTAAGTTCTTTACAAAACTTTTTGTTCCTGAAGAACGAATAAAATACAAATAGAAAAATTACAACTTACATTCAAGTTCCGATTTGAGATTCAGAACTTCCTGAAACGGTTTGGTGGAAGTAATTTCTTCCGATTAATTTATCGATTAGCTTACAGTGACGTAACCCTGTCAGTTGATGGTCGACTAGTTCAAATTTGCACAAGTTTCCCTCAACATCTGAAGTGTAACCAACTTCCAATTATTATTATGAAAGTCTCTCTGCATATACTTTTGCATTAATGTTTCTCGTTCCATGCCATGGAGTCGCGTGGCTAACAATAGACTGGCGTACTGCGTCACGTTGGTCGCGTGTACGTCTACCCCATGAAATGTCTGTTGTTGCAGCCATTGAATTCTGTATTTCACTATATTCACTCTTCGTTCTTTTAACATTTCGATTCATTTTCAAACCGTATTATGTTCAACGGTAACATTCGGTATCTTCTAGCACAAAATTTGACAGATAAGCTGCTTTTTAATCCTGCCATTCCTGTTTTACATATGCATCAGCAGCTGACAGTGAAGTCGGTAAAGTTTGTGTAATTTCATAAAATTCTAGTCAAAATCAAAAGAGCAGTAACGTATTTATGAACTTAAATAGCTTCTACCTGGCCAACTAATTAATAAATCACCAATTAGCCGAGTTGATTATTTTATTGATACTAACCAAGTACACTGTGTTCACTCAACCTGTGCCTCTCTCAGATGTTGAAAGTTTATAAACAAACTGCTTTAGCCGATAATACTCGCTCAGATACAGTCGTGACAAAAATCACCAAGTTTATTTTCGCTGCAGCATTCAAATCATTAATGGTTAAGTTCATAAAAAACAGACAATTTTTTTTTAAAAAAAACGGTACGCACAGCGTGGAAATAAGCTACTTGCTACAACATCCTGTATGATAATCACAAATTGTGCGACTTACATAAACGTAAATATGTATGATAATTAAAAAAGGGAGAGAAAAATAAAAAAAAACATTTCAAATGCGTGAAATACGAAATCGTAACTTTGCGTGTTGTTAAGAGGTGAACAGGCTTAATTGTAAATCAACATTTTATAAGCCGACGTAATTTATTTGCCGTGCATCTACTCGTAATATCTTATTAGCTGTATTAAAGAAATAAGAAGAGGCTAAAATCCTCCACAACCGCAAAGTACATTAACATTCGCCATAAAATCACTTCTAATCCTGCACTCATACATGTCATCTACCTCCTCAAATTTTAAGATGGCTGTCTTCCGGGTTGTAGCGCCGTGCAGTCTGGTAGACGTTTACCAACGTTTAAGAGGTCCAGATGATCATCGTCCTGATGATGGAGACAGCAGGGACCTCTGAAACGTTAGCAAACTTCTACCAGACTACACGGCCCTACAACCCAGAAGACAGCTAACTTTCTTCGGACTCATCGCCGTGAAAACCTCAAATCTCACTCCTCAGATTCCTTTGGCCCACAGAGATTTTCCTCCTACCCCATCTATCCCATTTCTTCCTCACACTTTCCTTATATTCTCACTCTCCCCTTTAATCGCCTTCACTGTGAAGCAGCCTATTGTTCCGTCACGTCGATGCCTCCCGGAGATTTTACAGCGTGTCTGGGAAACGGGGGATTACCCGGTGGCACGCTCCAGGTCCCCCCGCTATGGTGACTAATTGAAGTTTCCGATTTTTACTAGAGACCCTTGTGCTGGAAATGGTGTTACTGGCAGTGCTACAGAAAGCGAAGAGCTCTCTGAAGCATATAAAATAATTGAAAAACGGGTATAAAACAGAAGCAAATATAAAGTAAAGGTAAATACGTCCTGGTGCTTTACTAAGCCTTACAGATTCGTGTGGGAGTAGAGATATAGTTCCATACAATCTTAATCTCGGCACTAAATGAGGGTGAGTGGGTAGCTTCAAGCTCTGGCCGCACCTTCGCAATCTCATGTGGACAGGCACGATTGAGAAGTGTGACTGAAACAGGGAAATATTTTGCTGGAAAGGCAGGAAATACGATTACCGTTCAAGACCAGGTTACGAGATCCTTGTAAATACTCCTAACAAGCGTACAAAATGTTACGCAATAGAATATGATAACTTAAGATATCTATAGATAAACAAGAAACTACTGAACACGAATGTGCACGCCTTTGAACAGAAGAAACAAAACGGTATACAGCAAAATAGAAAAATAACTCCTCACGAAATGGCAATTAAATATGCATTACCTTCACCAGAAGATCCACACCTGCGCCTACTCTTGAAAACAAGAAATTAAACTATAACTGGAATAAATCCATCATCACAGACAAAATAATTAATCAAAACCAGGTACACAAAATTCGCAAAGATTAATTAAGTTGTGATGATGTGAAGACGTATGGAGAAGTGGAGGTATAGCTTCTCGGCATTATATGGAAATGAACGGTCAATACTCCCTGACCGCTTTACCTTCGGGGGAATTTGGCAAATTCATCGCCCTGATGACGGAGGCAGTACGACCTCTGAAACGTTGGTTAACATCTACTAGACTACACAGCGCAACAACCCAGAAGACAGAAATCTTCATACCCACCGCTGTGTCGCCCTGATGATGGAGGCAATATGACCTCAGAAACGTTGGTAAACATCGACCATACCACACAGCGCAACAACCCAGAAGACTGAAATCTTCATACGCTAAATATAATGACTGGGAAATGAATGAAGGTTCAAGAATAACCCAGATATTGTTTATAAAGACCATGGGATATGTTGCAAATTAGCTACTATCGCGAGACGGTGGAGGACTCAACAGCAGCTGCTGAGCGCGAGAGCGTGTGATGTGTTCAATCCACGATCCTCTTAATGCTAACAGTGGACTGCAGTTTCCGACAGATTATTTTTAATAGATTTTCGTGAAAATTGTTCCCGTGCATGAAACGACGTATTTCTGTGTCAAGGCAGCTGTCCAAATTCACTTTTATCTCTCACCCACGCATAAACACAAGTCCAAATCATCACAGGAAAAAGGTGCAAGGTGCATACAACTGTGGGAAACCTACCCTGAGCCGGTTTCACACGATTACCACGTGGTCACCAACGAATCATCCCAACTCCAACCCACAAGCAACATACGGTCCATTTTCGTATCCCTCCCCATTCTATATTACCATATACGCAACCTTCTGACGATCGAGTTGTGATATAGGATTTTAAACCTTACTGATATGACACATTAGGGGTTCTTCCACACTGAAGCACTCCCCACTACAGCACGTGCCTGGCAAGACACGCGACTAGACCCTCTACCCCCCCCCCCCCCCCCCCCC